ATAGCGTTGTTAAGAAGGCGTACAGTATGTTAGGTTTTATTGGTAGAGGGATTGAGTTTCGGAGCCATGAGGTCATGTTGCAGCTGTACAAAACTCTGGTGCGGCCGCACTTGGAGTATTGCGTACAGTTCTGGTCACCGCATTATAGGAAGGATGTGGAAGCATTGGAAAGGGTGCAGAGGAAATTTACCAGGATGTTGCCTGGTATGGAGGGAAGGTCTTATGAGGAAAGGCTGAGGGTTTTGAGGCTGTTTTCGTTAGAGAGAAGAAGGTTAAGAGGTGACTTGATAGAAACATACAAGATCATCAGAGGATTAGATAGGGTGGACAGTGGGAGCCTTTTTCCTCGGATGGTGATGGCTAGCATGAGGGGACATAGCTTTAAATTGAGGGGTGATAGATATAGGACAGATGTCAGAGGTAGGTTCTTTACTCAGAGAGTAGTAAGGGCGTGGAATGCCCTGCCTGCAAAACTAGTAGACTCGCCCACTTTAAGGGCATTTAAATGGTCATTGGATAAACATATGGATGATAATGGAATAGTTTAGGTTAGATGGGCTTCAGATTGGTTTCACAGGTCGGCGCAACATCGAGGGCCAAAGGGCCTGTACTGCGCTGTAATGTTCTATGTTCTATGTTCTATGTTCTATGTTCTATGTTCTATGTCTGATATTCCCTCCAAGACTTGTCTTGTCAACATATCATCTGCAATGGAGGGCATGAGGTGAATGTACAGATTAGACCACTGCTCATGTATTCCTTTTTCTCCAATCCTGAGCTGGTTGATACCTGGAGAAGTAATGTCTCAAGTCATCTCACATAAACACTAGATGCAGGCTGTTTTTCTCTCAGGAATGGGTTGGGTAGTGGCTGTGGTGCTTCTATTCTCTTGCCCGCTCGAAGTTCTGCCGCTGACTCGGCTTTTTCTATGCTTCTGGCTCACAATGGCTGTTTGCTGCTAAGTCAAAGGCTTTTTCTACCTTAACTTTAAAATGGAGATTGAAAATATTGCTATAGTTTTGCACCATTATAGCCTGTTTTTTTTAGTTGTGGATTCGTTTGGGTTCTTCTCTGTAAGATTTCACTTCTATGTGCTGTCACCTGGTTGCTACCATGTTTCATCTTCTGGTTGTTCTGATGGGTGTTCTTGTTCTTACCTGGACTAGTGTAGAATCAGTTTTGTTTTAACAATAGCCTTTTTGTTTCTGTACTAACACTACAGACATTGACCTACACATGTTCACAGTGTCTCCTCCATGAGATTTTTATTAGTCATGTGATGTTACATCATCATTACATCATGATCCCATAGGGTCATGCATTTTAAGACATCCAGTACCATCACGTCTGTAATATGGACACTTTACAAGATGTAGCTATTTTTTCCCCATATTCTATATATTCCATATCCTTCTCAACAGTAAATACTGATGCAAAATACTCGTTCAGTATCTCCTCCATCTCCTGTGGTTCCACACATAAGCAGCCTTGCTGTTCTTTAATGCGCCCTATTCTCTCCTTAGTTACCCTTTTGTCCTTAATGTACTTTTAGAATCCCTTTGGATTCTCCTTAATCCTATTTGCCAAAGCTATTTCTTGTTCCCTTTTTGCCTTCCTGATTTCTCTCTTAAGGATACTCTGCATAGGCCAAACCAGAAGAAAATTGACTATATGGACACGTGAACACCAACTAGCCACTAAGAGGCACGACCAATCCTCACTTGTCTCACTACACATTGACAACGAGGGACACTAATTCGACTGGGACAACACATCCATAATCACACAAGCCAAACAGAGAGACAGGAATTCCTGGAGGCCTGGTATTCTAACTGGAACTCTATCAACAAACACATTGAATTAGACCCTGTGTACAAACCTCTGAGAAACAGAACCGCAAATGGTACCAAACACCTCAACAAACTGAGGCATATAAATAAGAAGGGGGACAGAACATCAACGCTTAACCAGACACACACTGACGATGTTACCTAGCAGGGTGACGAAACGTTTACAACCAAACCCACTGGCTCGGCGAGCATGTCTACAACCTCATCCACAACCCGAGCTACAAATCTTCTCAAACTTTAAAGCTTCCTTCTTATTCTTGACCAAAACCTCAATTTTTCTCGTCATCCAGCATTCCCTACACCTACCTGCCTTGCCCTCCACCCCAACAGGGACGTACTGTCTCTGGACTCTCATTATCTCATTTTTGAAGGCTTCCCATTTTCCAGCCATCCCTTTACCTGCAAACATCTGACCCCAGTCAACTTTTTAAAGTTTTTTTTGCCTGATACCATCAAAATTAGCTTTCCTCCAATTTAGAACTTTAACTTGTAGATTCGGTTTATCCTTCTCCATCATTATTTTGAAACTAATAGAATTGTGGTCACTGGCCTCAAAGTGCTCCCCCACTGACACCTCAGTCACCTGCCCTGCCTTATTTTCCATGAGTGGGTCAGGTTTTGCATCTTCTCTAGTAGATACATCCATATAATCTATCAAAAAATTTTCTTCTGCACACTTAACAAATTCCTCTCCATCCAGCCCTTAACATCATGGCAGTCCCAGTCCATGTTTAGAAAGTTAAAATCCCCCTATCATCAGCACCCTATTATTCGTACAGATAACGGACATCTACTTGCAAAATTGTTTCTTAGTTTCCTGTTGACAATTGGGGGTCTAAAGTATAATCCAAATAAGGTGATCGTACCTTTCTTATACTTCAGTTTCACCCAAATAACTTCCCTAGACATACTCCCAGGAATATCTTCCCTAAGTACAGCAGTAATGTTATTTTTAATCTAAAATGCTACTCCCCCTCCTCTCTTGTTCCCCTTTCTATCTATCCTAAAGCATCTATACCCCAGAACGTTAAGCTGCCAGGAGCTACGTTTCCTGTAATTGCTCTGATTCCCAGTCCTATGTTCCCAACCATGCCCTCGATTCATCTGCCTTACCTGTTTGGTCTCTTGCATTAAAATAAATGCAGATGAATTTAGCAGTCCTATTTGTTCTTTGCTTTGTTCTTGCCTGTCTCACTGTTTGACCTACTCCTTTTCCAAACTGTATCATCTCAGACTGCTCTCTTTCCTCACTATCTGCCTGGGTGCCACCCCACCCCCACACTAGTTTAAATCCTCCCAAGCAGCCCTAACAAATCTCCCGGTCAGTATATTAGTCCCCTTCCAATTTGGGTGCAATCCATCCTTGCTCACTCCTACTTCAGAAGAGATTCCAATGATCCAAAAGTATGAATCCATCTCCTCAGCCACGCATTCATCTGCTCTATCCTCCTATTCCTACCCTCACTAACCCATGGCACCGGGGATAATCCAGATATTACTACCCTCGAGGACATCCTTTTTAAATTCCTGGCTAATTTCCTATATTTTCCCCTCAGAATCTCATCCTTATCTCTTCCTCTGTCATAAATTCTTGAAGAAGAATGACATAAAGAGATCAGAAATGGAGCAAGAACATGGGACAAGACTGCTGTTCATGTGGTAGATAAATGCCAACAGAGACTGAAACAAAAAAACAAAAGTGTTGGAGAAATTCAGCATGTCTGGCAGCATCTGTGGAGAGAAAGCAGAGTTAACGTTTTGAGTCCAGTTGACCGTTCTTCAGAACAGGACCAACAGAGACTGGTTGGACTAAGTCTCCAGTTTTCTTGTTGTAATTTCCATGTAGCATTGGGAATAAGTTGCATTTCACTTGAAGTTTATTTGTGAATAATACTTCAGAGCAATTTTGAATTTGATTAATCACCACTCTTACTTTTCTTTTAACCTCAGGCAGAATTTACAGCAAGACTTATTCCTAAGTAGGCTACTTTATGTTTTCCTTGGTTGAGTTAATAAATGTATAATTTAACATCAGAAAAAATAACTGTGAATAGACAAACAAAACTACTGTGTGCAGGTATTGTTAGGATATTGGTCCAGTTTTTATTTAAAGTATGGTTTCTGTTACTTACAATACAAATGAGAACCTGACTGACTTTGTTTGTTTGCCACACCATGTATTTAAACTTGCATAATAAAACTTCTTTCCAATTTTCCCCATCTCCCCAATTTTCCCTTAAACAGAATCACTAATGTAAACAGGGAAATATTTTTGTGTGCCATTCCTTAACATTAATGTAACAGGATCATAGTACACAAAGTAACGAAGGTGCAATCAGTTTTTATTTACTGTCAGGTTCCACAAACCAAACTTTATTTTCCTCATTGTTTATAATGGAAACGTTCTATTAGCTTCCTAGTTTCTGTTTTCCAGTTGAAATGTTCTGAGTTCTTGGAGTATATTTTTGTAATTGGAAGCAGATCAGAAAGTACGATGATGTTGAGTATTTGCTGAATCTGGTTAGAAGCATAGCACTGCATTATGCCCAGTGTAGTTTATTGGGATACTGACAGCATGGAAAAGAGATTTGAAAACCATTTTGCTTTTTGGAAGAAAAGTGTTACAATTTGCAAGGATATCACAGACATATGATGCAGTGATCTATTTTCAGTACAGCTTGTGACATTGTATTGCTTCCAAATGATAGATTCTCAACTAACATGAAACATTTTTGAAAAGAAATTGCAAATTATTTTGTTCCTAAATTTGGCTTAATATTTCTTTAAGGGAATATAACAGTGATAGATTTCCATACTAGTACTATCCTTGTGTGTATGCAGGTTATCTACGAGCACTGTGAATAATTCTAATTTGCCTGCTTCAGTGGGAATTTAACAGAGGTGTCCTGTTGTAAAGTCCATGGCGTGCTCAACAATTACATTACCACTTATTTTCCAAATTTGAAGAAAAATAGAGATTTGTGCAAAAAGATGTGCGAAAGTCATTCTGGAGTACATTTTTAGCAGCTCAGCAAAGAAAGTGTGCAGTATGTTTGGGGCACATTTTAGTGTTCATGTGTTTTTTTTTCCAGTTATCATTACAAACATACTTTAATTTGGTTACATTAACTTCTGTATTCTCTTCCGTAGTGCTGCTGGAGGTGAAATTTTCAACCAATGTGTAGCTGAGAGGGAAGAAGCCTTCAAAGAAAAAGATGTCAAACGGCTTATGAGGCAGATATTAGAGGGTGTGGCTTTCTTGCATCGAAACAACATCGTCCACCTTGATTTGAAAGTAAGTGTTAATTGTTCTTGTTTTAAGTTTGTATAATAGCCTGTGAATTTTAAACTTGTTACGTATCAGGAAGTTGAACATTACCTGATAACTGAACAGGGTGCTGCATCTCCACATTCAAAGTCAACAGCCAGTTATGTGAATGAGCAGTTGAGAGATTTTTTGAAATTCTGAGACTTAATTATGAATATACAATCAATGAGAAGATGATCATGTCATTAAACGTAATTTATCAAAAATGTGTGTAAGTAGGCAGAATGCCAAATGTTTCAAGGGTAGGAAATACTGAACCATGTTCAAGAATGGGGAGAAAAGAGATGATGAAAGTAAGCCTTAGGCCAATCAGTCCTAATTCCGATGTGGATTAATTTAGTCCACAATACAAAATGAAATTAGTTAAAATTTGGAAGGTTAAAGGGTACAAATCGACTTGCGAACAGACTGAAGATCAGAACTTGTTCACAATCATCGGGCTGCTTGTAAATGGTATTTATTTTCCATTCTTGCTTGCCTTGGAGATGGGATTCAAAAATCACAACAGATTGGGGATTTAAAAAGTCTTCCTATTTGTTGAAGGGCTGAGACCAAGAGAATACAAATTTAAGGTAATTGTTACAAGAAGGATGGTGACGTGCAGGAAACTGGTTCACACAGCAAGTGGTTAGGATTTGGAATGCACTGCCTGAGATTGTGGTGGAAACAAATTAGATTTGAGGCATTCAAGAGGGGAGAGGGGCTGTGAGTGGCACTAGGTAGGCTGTTCCTATGGAAAAGTGGCGCAGACACAAAGACCAAATGGACTCTTTCAGAGCTGTAATAGTTCTGTAAACTGTAGCTGAGGAAGAGGAACGGATCAGGACAGAGTGGTTGGAGTTGAGGGTGGATTGGTGAGGTTTCGGGAGATTTCTTTAGTTAATCCTGAGTATGAATAGTTTTAGCAGAGGAGATGAAGGTGTAGCAGTACTCATTGTGGTCCATCAGACATGTCTGGTGGTTGGTTAAACCAGTTTTGTGCTATATACACTTAATCTAAAGCAGGCTGGATTTTTGTTTAGAGAAATATCCCTTTTTTTAAGTTCAATTTTTGAACATCAATCGTTTACAATTAGCTGGTTGCTACTTGAGAGATTCAATAGCAGCTAGTGCTGAATCATTGGAATGCAATGCAGTTTTCTTTGTAGTAAGCTGATAGGGAATGTTGTTTTTAAGAAATAGAACTCTGTCAGGTTAGATTTGCATAAAATGCAAGTGTGAGAGCCTACAGAGAACTAAACATTCAGGAAAAACAATTCATTAACAATGAGCCAGTCTTTTTGGATAATTAAAGCCAAGAACTCTTGACATTTTTCTTAATCCCACATAATTCACTTTACATAATTTTCCCTTGAAGTAACCGCACCTATTAAATCTGGAGAACTGCAACAACAGACCTCACACACCAATAACCTTGATCTTGCCCTGAACAATTTATTCTATCATCCATATCTTGATCCCTTAATTTCCACCTGCTGGGTGACTTGGATAATTCTTCCTATGATCATTAACTGTTCCCATTTCTCTTTTTTTTAAAAAAAATTAAATACCTAACTTTCAGACATTAACGAGACAGTTCACAGGAGATAACCTAATTAACTGCACCTCCACCAAAAATGCACTTAATCTATTGAAAAGGCTCTTCCATGAAAGGAGGAAAAATTACATTTGTGCAAAACCTTTCAAAGTAAGACTGTACAGCACTGTCACCTCTGAGTCACCTGATAGAGGGTTCAAATGTCATCCCAGAGGCCTGAGTACAAATTTGAGGCAGGTACTTGAGTGCTACACTGAGGGATTGGATGAGACGCTTTATCAAAATTTATTTGCACTCGTATGCTAATAAAAGATACTGTAGCACTACCTGAAAAGACGTTCTCCCTGGCATCCTACCTGATTATCCTTTTGCTTTCTCCCAGTCCCTGCACTGGCTGTGCCATAACCAGCATTGCTATCATAGACAGGGGAAAACAGCTTATCCACAAGCAATATGGTGATTTATCCACGGCTGCTGCTTCTCAATACCCTGACATCATTGACAAAAAATAATCACAATCAGTATGTACAGGACATTGGTTAGGCCACTTTTGTAATGCTGCGTTCATTTCTGGTTTCCTTGCTACACAGAAGATGTTGTTAAATTTGAAAGGGTTTAGAAAAGATTCAGAAGGATGTTGCTAGAGTTGGAATGTTCGAGCTATAGACTGGGGCTATTTTCCCTGGAGCATCAGAAGTTGAGGGGTGACTTTACAGAGGTTTATAAAATCATGAGGGGCATGGATATGGTAAATAAACCGGGTCTCTTCCCCAGGATAGCAGAATACAAAACTAAGGGGCATAGGTTTAAGGTAAGAGGAGAAAGATTTAAAAGGGACCTAAGGGGCAACTTTTTCATGCAGAGGGTGGTGCGTGTAAAGTTTGTTTGATTAACAAAGGTATGCAGCAGAAAATAGAGTTGATGACTAAATGATATGGGCTATATTCTCCAAACTGATATTTAATGGCTGGCAAAGTAGGTGTGGTGCTAATTGAGGCAGTAGCCAGTAGATGATGGACATGCCAACATAGGACACTTCTTTTTCTACAGCATGACCCTAAAAGTAGAGGACTTGAGGCTAAACTTACTCTTAATGGTTCTGATGGTGCCAGCAGTATGCTATAGCCCAGTTTGATAGGCCACCAAAAGCCCACGACTGACCACAAAAATCCTCGGTGAAACATTTGAGAAATCTTAATCTAATTACATGCACAACTGAGTCTATAGTACTACATCTTAATTTTGCAATTAGTATTCTTCACAGAATTTTAACAATGCAGGAGGAGGCTACTCAGCCTAACTTGTCTCCAGTGACTATCTGTGCATTTCAACTTGGAGTCAATCTCCTGCCTATTCCCATAATAGCTAGTCTTTTTGAAAAAAAATCATCTAGTGCCCTCTTGAATATCTTAATTGAACGAGCGCTACCATGCTTCCAGATATTATATTCCATGCCTTAACTACTTGATGTACAGAAATATTTTCTTTTCACCACCTCATATCTGCTTTTTTTTTGCAAAACAGATTAAGAGTTTGCTGTCTGGTTCTCGATCTATGTGCAAGTGAGACCAATTTCTCCCTGTCCACTCTGTCCAGACCCATCATGACTTTGAAAATTTCTATCTCATCTCCTCTTAACCTTCTCCTCTCTAAGGAAAACAGTCCCAGCCTCTTCAGTCTTTCCTCATCGCCAAAACATAAAATCCCTAGAATAATTCTTGTAAACCTCTTCTGCAATCTTTCCAATGTATTCACATCCTTCCTACAGAGTGATACCCAAAACTGTAAACAGTACTCCAGTTGAGTTCTCACCAGAATCTTCTATAAGTTCATCACAACTTCTCTCGTGCACTGATTTATGAAGTTAATTGTTTACTACGGTTCTCTTTACCTGTCCTGCCATCTTTAATGACTGCTGTATAGATACATGAAGTCTCGATTCTCCTGCGCACTAAATAGAATACCACCCTTTACCTACCTATCCATCCACTCTGCCAACATGTCACAGCCCTTTTGAAATTCTACACTGCCATCCTCAGTTTAGTTTTGTGTTGTCCACAAACTTTGAATTGTCACCTGTACACCATAATTTAGATCATTAACATATCTCAGGAAAAGCAAGAATCCTACAACCAATGCCTTGAGGAACTCCGTTACAAACCGTTTTACAGCCCAGTAAATACCAACTATTTCCCACTACTTCGTTTCTATCAGCCAATTTTGTATCCATGTTGTTACTGTCCCTTTATTTCATGACTTAGAAATTTCCTCAAGTCTGACACCTTGTGGAAGTCCATGTATACCACATCAACAGCCTTTCCCTCATCAATCCTCTCTGTTACCTCTTCAGAAAAACTCCACGAAATAAAACACAATTTTCCTTTAACAAATCTATGCTGACTCTTCCAAATTGGTCTACTTTCTTTTTAATGAGAGTATTAATCTATCCTAAATAACTGTTTCTAGGAGTTTCTCACCACCAAAGTTAAACTGACTGTTGGACAAAAATGTACAACCTTTTTTTTGTTTTTTTTGAACAATGCAATGGTTATAATTCTCCAGCCCTCCAGTACCACCCTGAATCAAAGGAAGATTGAAAAACTATTGCTGGTGCTTCTGTGATTTCCACTCTCATTTCTTTCAGGATCCATGGATGCGTCTCATCCGGTCCTGGAGCATTTTCAACTGGGTAGAATCTGCCACATAGGCAAAGATAAATGCAAAAGTATTAATATAAACTTGAGCTGTGCCTCTTGCCTCCGTGTGCAAATCCCCTTTTTTTTTTGAGTCTCCAATTAGTACCACTCCTCCTTTTCCTATCCTTTTACTATTGATGTCCTTCCATAAGTATTTTTGGAATTTCTTTTATGTTAGCTGCCAATTTTTCTTCTCGATCCCTCTTTGCTTCTCATTTTGCTTCCTCGTGTTGTTTCTGAACCTTCTGAACTCAGCTTGGCTTTCAATTGTATTTATACACCTGCTATAAGCATACTTTTTGTTTTATAACTTAATTTCTATTTCCTTTGCCATCCGGAGACCTTTAGATTTGTTTGTCCTACCGTTCCCTTTTGAGGAAATACACCTTGACTTGTACCCAAACCATGTGATCTTTGAAGGTAGCCAAATTGTTCAGCTGTGGTTTTTCCTGCCAGTTGTCAGGTTAGTAGAAAGTAGATGTTTGTTGCCCTTACTGTCAAATCAGCTAAGATAAATGTAAAGTGCTGTGGAAACCAGAGCTCTGAAATAAAACCAGGAAGTGTTGAAGGAACTCAGCAGGTCTGGCAGCATCTGCAGACAAAGAAACATGTCCACTTCAGGAATTACTACCACACAAATTAAACGTCTGGATGTATTGAATTAAAAATGTGCAAAATCCTTTTATGTCCAAGTCATTTGTGTTGGTCACATACTTTCGGGAATGTTGGATCTT